AAAAAAGGTGAAGCACCTCTCCTTCCGTTTTCAGCGCTGGGCGATACCCTAGCCAGCACGAGTACTCGCACGAAAAAGCACGTAAAAGTGCTTTGAACTGGGCTCTAGATGCAGCGCAAACAACAATCGGAGTAGGGCTCTTCCACGCACCAACTACCCAAAATGAGAAAAACTGTTGCCTAACGAAGGCGCGCACTCTGACCATGAAAGTCTATTAACTATATTTTCCCCGTGTACTAGTTGGGTCAGTGGCGAAAAAACTTGTCGGCCGAACCTTGTTCAAACAGGGCGTAAGTGATGGATCCCATTGGACATGATAATAGTCTAGGGGGAAAAGTTCAAGTTCCACGGGACGCGATTCACAGTCAAATGAATTGAGGCAGGCAACTACCTCCACAACAGTTCGTTGGACACGCGCAATGGGGGTTACGTTCTTTTTGTGCCTAAGCAGCCAGCTTGTTTCTCGTATTTAAGAAGCGGTTTGACGTAGACTGCATAGAGCACCTAGAATTCCGTGTGGGTGATACGAAGGTGCGCCTAATTATCCGAAAAGCGACGAGCGAATTTTGGGCCATTTTTGTGATGGAGTGAGGGCAATCTTGAAGAGAGCCAGGTACCTAGATCAGTTTTAGTACCCAGCTTCGCAATATAGTCCGGTCGCCGGGCACGACAATGTCATTCGCTAAGTTTTATCCGGACAACATTCGGTTGTGTTTTTCATCGTTTAGGGGAAGGTGCCCGTCCAGTGACCACTAGTTACGGAGCCGAAATCCTCTGAAGAGCGCTTACGTTCGGACTGGGGATTTCAGACGGTTTACGGGAATTGAAAATGAACTTGTAAACGCACCCGAAGACCAGAAGAAAGAGTAATTCTAAGTCAGAGGCTTGAGGAACTACAATAAAGACTGGAGCAGAAGAGCATTTTGATCTGACTTTCACTCCAATCGCGGAGCTCTGATTTGCCGGAAATCCGCATCTTCCTAAATACCGGTTCATCTTCCAAGTCTCCCGTAGAAACCTTTAAAAGAATACATGGGACCTCATTTACAGAGGACGCCGAATCCCTTTGGGTATATTTTCCGACTTCATGCACCTAGCGGCGGAGGTTTCGAATCCACGTTTCAGACTCCGGGTTCTTGAATCAATTCAATTTAATTAGTCAGCTATAAACCGTGTACCATTGGCATATTGGTTCCAGATGCTACTGTTTCGATCACTGGAAGGTATACCGTAACGAAAAGACTAGAACTTACTGTGGGGTGACGACTTGTGTACTTACACGACCCGTTTAACTATACTGGAGAGGGGTGTCCCGCGACACTCGCAGTCTCTTATACGAGGTTGGTCAACGGGTAGATGTTTAACAAACACTCTCCTGGTCCTCCAGGTGGGGGTTGGAACATGTATGGTGACTTGTTCGGTAAAAATTGTAGTGCGCCCACATTTTCCAACAAGCACCGCTGTCTTGCGGTCAGGCTTCCAAGCCAAGTGCTTTGGCTGAGGACTCCTCCTTTCTAGGTATGGGCGCTCTGGCAATATCCTAGTCCACGTGCAACTATGAATTGCACACTTAGAGATAATTTCATGCCACATCGGTCGTCGAGTCGTGCCATCAACCTGGTTGCCTCACTTGCCAAATACACCATGTCGGGTAGGTGAAAACAGGCTACTACCGATGTCTTCCTTCTTTCTCTTTCCCCCTGTCCCTACCACAGTATCTCTCCCTGTAGGCCCAGCAGTTAAGACTGATAACTCCGTTCGTCCTGAATCGGTTTTGCAAACAACATCTGCGCGTCATCCTGCATCTTCAAATCAATCTTCAAGGCTTGATTCTTAGTCTATCTGGCTGCCTTCTGTGTTCGCACTCTGAAGCAAGCAGGACAACAAGCTGCTCTTGCTCTCACGCCATAATCATTTGGCATTGATGTGTGCTGTATATCATGAGCAAGAATTCAAGCACAAGGGTTGAGCTAACTTCCCAATCACTCTCCACTCGCTTCCGGCTGCGCACCTCTGGTGATCCAGGGGCTGCTGTGGCAGGATGTACAGGATTTATCATCGTCCTAAGTCATCATGCAGAGGGATCTTTGCTTGGCTAGATACCGTCGATAGCCACTTGTGTGTGGTTCGTATGGCAACGTCTGCGAAGTTGTCTCACAGGCTGAAAGTTCGTCGATGTCTGTTCGTCATATCAGCCTGCGTCCCAAATGACTGTAGCCATGGCAGCATCAAAGACAAGTTTTGCGACGCCTTGAATACCCTGTGGGGGCAAGGTGGCTAAGTGGTTAGAGCGCGAATTTACTGGTTCGAACCGGACCTCTACCTCTCGACTTCCCCTGTCTAAGCTTGGGTAACCTGAGAGTATCCCAGCCCTCGTGATTCCTTCGGGTTGCATGAAAGCTAGACACCAAAAGGGTGTTATAGCTGAACGATTGTTTTTTATTGTATTGCATTGAGTAACTTGTTGTGGCGAGTTAAAAGCTCAAACATCGTTGTGGTTGCCAGAGATGTGAGTGCATAAGTGGTAAGGCTTAGCACATGTGAGACTCAATTAGGTCGGCATGGATTGGACTCGGTATGTACGGGTGATGTTGAGTGATTGCTTCAGCTGTGCTGACCACTTCCGAAATAGCCGGAGTTTTCTGGCCACATGGTGTCCTCCAACGCATCTCGACAACAAATTCTAATCGATCACACTGTCATTAGTTACCGATGGCGTGGATCAACAACTAACTGCCGGTCGTTTTGGAACATGTTTGTGTAGTCTGACCACGCACTCGTCTGGAGTCGATTCTCCCTTCGTCTTCCAGGGCCGTGTAAGGTGCAGATGGCAGCTGAGACTAGCACATCCGGATGTCGGTAGAATTTATCGGAGTCGTCTTTTTCGAATACCCCACCATCAGATGCGAATTCATACTTGAACAAGATTGCCATCTATTAGCACAGTGCTGGGAGTTTTGCTTGTGGCACGGCGCTACCAGGCGCACTCGAGCACTGGATATCAAACCGACGATTGGCAATGCTGAAATCTCATAGAAATATCCAAACCAGTTCCGAACATAACTTTACTTTATCAGATTTCAAGTGAAAGTGATCGTGATATTCGGTCGTGAAGGCTGATGGAGACGGAAGGCCAAGGGGAAGGAAGAGGCCCAGAAAGCCGGTAATGCTCGGAGATAGTTTCAGTTGATCCATGCAACCTGTCCCCGGAAACCACCTGTGTAAATATTCAGCCGTAGCACCCTTCCGGTGCCTAACTGCCATGCCACCCGAAGGTTGCGCGATGGCTACCAGGCCGAGCACTGGATATCAAACCGACGATTGGCAATGCTGAAATCTCATAGAAATATCCAAACCAGTTCCGAACATAACTTTACTTTATCAGATTTCAAGTGAAAGTGATCGTGATATTCGGTCGTGAAGGCTGATGGAGACGGAAGGCCAAGGGGAAGGAAGAGGCCCAGAAAGCCGGTAATGCTCGGAGATAGTTTCAGTTGATCCATGCAACCTGTCCCCGGAAACCACCTGTGTAAATATTCAGCCGTAGCACCCTTCCGGTGCCTAACTGCCATGCCACCCGAAGGTTGCACGATGGCTGGGATACTGCCAAGTTGCCCAAGCCTAGACAGGGGAAGTCGAGAGGCAGGGGTCGGGTTCGAACCACGAACCTTGCGGTCAGTAAATTCGCGCTCTAACCACTTGAGCCATATCGCCCCACCTGTGTGCAAAACTATCAAGGATCAGAATAATTGACCATTCTGAGGGGAAAAAATAACGCTCAACCATTGGGTCCAATACCTCGAACAGTGGTCATCGTGGCCACCACCTGCCACTCATCTGAAGCCCACAGTTGACATGGAACCCCTACAGTCTTGGAGGTTTATGATTGCATATGTTCTCTCAGGTGATACCGAGCCTCTGGTCCAGATGAGCTTTCACCCGCAATGTTCAAAGATGAGGATGAAATCCTCAGTCGGCGCTTGCTCCGTTTGCCCACATCTGGGACAACTGGAGCGATTCGGTTATAGTGCCTATTTTCAAAAAAAAATGGGGCTCGTGGTGTGATGACCACGGGGTCATCGGCTAATCCCCGGTCTCAAAGAGACTGTTGGCGTCACTTGTATTTCGTCGCCTTATGGTGGCTCACGAAACACCTATTTGAGAGCATCAAGCGGGGTCGCGGCCTGGTAGGAGCTGTGTTGACCAAATCAGTGCTGAACAGTGATTTTATTCTGTAGATGAGTATGAGATGGAAGTGAGGGTGAGACATCCGGTCGGTCGAAGTAAAGTCACCATACTGTGTATCAGTAGCACACTTGTTACCCTTCAACTTGACAGGTTCTGACCTCGCTCTGATTTCGAAACATACCTGAGACGTAATTGGAAGGCTATCAGTGGAACCCACAAAGTGCACCGTTCGCAATGCATCTGGTGGAAGCCCCAAACTGACCGGGAAGTTGAACTGCTCCGTAACGTTCAAGGGGATTTAACCCAATGGGCCTTAATCTCTTTGGTCTGAATTGGATTAATGATCTTCATCTCTTGGACCAATCCCTCAATGCCCTTCATAACGGAACAGTTGCAGATGGCTGCAACACGTTCACGAGTACACATCCTTGCGACTTTGCGGTGACCACCGTCACAGTCAAACCGGAAATCAGAGGGAGCATATACTACGCAGCAGCTATTCCGCTCCTGGCGTCCGTCACCGGTAGCCCTCTCACATCAGTCTAATTGGCGAATCATGCCAGCAGCCGGCAACGTTTTATCCGCAGTACGAACCCTTCAGTTCATAGTCTCAGGTTCATTCAGATCATTCCATTGCTATCTAAAAAGTCAAGAAAGGAGGTCAGCATAAGGACGCCACAATAGTCACACAGAAGCCAGATACTGATTCGAGGATATGGGGTGGATGCAGGGTCGAATACTACGTCAAGCACGAGTCACAAACAAGACCATAGGCACAACCATGTCAAGAGAACAAAATTCAGAAAACATACTGCGGCTCTGTAATGGAACCACGTCGCACGGAACACCGGAGAATCGCGATACACCTCCGAAGTGGCGGGCACCAGATCCCATGTCCACATGCTCACAGCCCCAGGGAGGAACAGACAATCGATAGCATCTTCATGAGTTGTTATTATTAGGTTCAAAGCAGCGATGGGTTGAACAGCCTCCTCGAATGATAGGTGTCCGTAAGCCAGCCACCCCTAATGACCGAACAGCACATCGGCTGGACGGACGTGTCACGTGTGGACTACTGACCAAACGAAACCATACCCTGATTGGTCAGAATACGAGCCAATCCGGATCTAGCATCTTCGGCACAACGCTTCTCGCCCCGTCGCGGAGATTCTAGCACGAACTAATGGAACATTCTGTGATCACCTTGTAGATAGAGTTGAAACAATCTTCTTTTGTCTCCATAAAATGCTGCCTCAAGCTGAGGTGCCTTTTGATAAACCATAGTGGGCGGAGCGGGGAGTTGCACGGCCGTTCACCAAGACACAACACATTCAAGCAGATAACAACCCCACCGGCCCTCTTGCGTTTCAAATTACCTAGGCGAATGGGGCTGAATTCTCAGTGTTAGAAGTCTGATAAGAGCCATGTTTCAGTGAGCTCGATTATTGTCGACCGCTACAGGTGAGTCAAATGTTAGATATCGACAAGCTGAAGCTTCTTGAACCATGGGAACACACAGGTAGGTACGTCACTACGCTGTATCAAATGGCTCTCATGCTTCCAAAAACGTTGGTCGTGGACAGGCCAAATTTTTAACGGCGCTTTTAATGATGTAAAGTAAAATCTGAATCACATGCATATATCATTAATATTGCTTAGTTTATTTTCCCTCAGAATAGAATCTAAGCTAAGTTGTGCAGCGTCACTTGCAAACTCCAAGTCTTTAAGGGATAATCTGTAAGTCAGAGGTAAAGCGCGTTGGGAAGAAGAACGAATCGTTCAGCTGTAGCATGTGGTTTTCAGGTCCAAACTAACTGCATATCCCGTTGGTAAGTTGATTGAGCTGCACAAAATTCACTAGAGTGGCACCATATTTCGAAAAATTGGTTGCCCCGCCATTTCTCTTTTTCCGAAACAGGCGCCGACTGCAAGATAGCGAAATATTACAACGCACAAACCTAAATACACTGAACTCGACCACAACCTGTCACCTTGTCTTGGTGATCGGGTTTCTGTGCTTCAATGATCCAGCAGGCTATCCTGGCAGGAACGCAGCTCCTAAGGGTTCACACATGCCAGGAAAGTGAATGAGGGTCAATACTCGAAAGTCGCTCCGAGCTGAGACATGAATTCCTCCTTCTCGATACTAAAATACCGCTCAAACCAGGCTTCAGATGAAAAACAGTCCCTACATAGATAGAGAACCTCGGTGAATCCAGACAGCTGTGGAGAAAAGGGGCGAGATACTCGAGAATGTGCTTCGGCGCAACGAACCAAAACAAGAGATCGCGATGACTCGCTTATCTGTAAAGAGGAAGAGTGCCTGAATCGTTGAGCCCAACACTTTCAAGACCAGCCCAAATTCCCGGCCGCGTTTGCTCAGCAGGATGTGCAGCCTGAAAGGCAGCCCTGGACAATGAACTTCGAACCCCCGGCGGCTTCGAAATGGGTCGATGCCTTTTATTTCTTGAGCGTCACTGGGCTGTTGGGACTGATGAAATCACGCATGCTATGTTTAAAGCTGGAGTTGAAACACTCGATCGATAACTATTTGCCTCTATCTGGGAGAAAGAGGTGGTCCTAATTAACGGTTGAGTCAGTGGTAGTACCCCTTCTCAAAAGGACGCCCGCAGTGAGCGGGGCAATCCCGGAGGAATCGGCTCTAAGCCTGCCGTAATCAAACTGTATATCAACTATTTAAAGGAGGCTCATGAAGAGAGGATCCGAGAGCGGTAATCAGAATTGTAGTTAGAAAGGGGCTGGCTGGATCACCTAGTCACAGCCCGTCAATTGTAGTAGCGACGGTATTTATAAAGCCGACCAACAATCTTGGTGTCATTTGAATTCGGGAGCGCGGCCGACTATGTTGTTCGGTTTGATTTCTTTGACACGCTTACGCGGCAGGATATGTTCCAGAGGATCGTGAATTTTTGTACCTCTCAAATTGTGCACCGTGAATGTATGCCGAGCTCTCCAAAAGCTTTCTTACAACCGATGTTGACCGACGAAGGTGTGCACTCCATTTTGGTTCAGCTTCACCATTCATATAACAATGAGTTGAACACCGTCGTGTATTCAAAACACCGAGTGAGAATCTTATCCACCTGAGATATGCAGACAACATTGTTATTTTTGAAAACAAGCGGGTAGTTTAAGCATCGCCAAAAAACTGACCAAGCTCATCCATTCCTTCGACATGTGCTTCGTGCCCACAAGGTGCAAACTCATGCTGCCTGGCTTAGAGTCTTTGAACATACCTCTGGGAATTCAACGAATAACACTACGCATCTTGCACGTTGCGCAGGCTTCAACGATAGTGTGACAGACGTAGTGAGCGCGTGAATCCCGAAGGTACGGTTTGTAATCACCAGTTCGCGCTCCTTGTGGCCTCAGAAAGGCACCTCACATGGTCTCAAAGGACGTGTGTATCAGACTACGGTGCGGGCTATATGGCTGTGTGGCTGTGATTATTTTGCCACTTCCGGCGGAGGAGGCCTTTGGCCACCATGGTATCATAAGTGTAATTGGAATAGACTGGAACGGTGTTGTGACTTGTTGAACGGCTGTGCAACACTGCATCGGTCCCTTTGCTTCCTGCTCCACTCACTATGGTATATCAGAGGACACGGTAGCTCCACACAACCCTTTGTGGGACAAAGAAAAGTTAATACAACTGTATTTATATGGCAATCCCAGACTGTTCCACAAGGTCGTGCTGGAATCTCCTTGAGGGCGCGAGAAGCGTTGTGGCAAAGATGCTCGATCCGGATTGGCTGGCATTCTGACCAATCGGGGCATGGCTTCGTTTGGTCCGTGTCCTGCCCGTGACGCATCCGCCCAAATGATGTGATGTTCTGTTGTTGGGGTCGACTGTCCTCCGAACAAACGGACGAGTTCGCAATGGGGTGATTATGAAACAAAGGACACCCTCATAAAATAATGCGACTGAAAACACAAGGTTTGTTGGCTGGGCCATATCCAGCGCATGTTTATTTGCCACCTGCCGAAAAGCGCGCTGTTTTTCGGGCCGAATTTGGAGTGGCTTATGCTTAGAGATGTACAGAATTTGACGTGGCCGAAGGACGTAGGCGCCTCGGATGATTGTCGCAGATTAGTCCTAGGTCTCCTTCATACCCCTTTTTTCTTCCTTCAATTATAATGCTTTTCGAAATAACTTGACATGGTTGTAAGGCACCACTGGTTTCATCTAGTTTTACTGTTGTTGCTATGGTGCTGATGTGTGGCAGCCCGTGAACTCGTATTAGGAGATGGTCTGGAGATAGACTCGTACTATTTCCTGCGATGGGAGTGGTAAGATATTAAGGTGTTTCTTACAGACGACCAGGATATCCGTATTTCTGGGGGCAACGACATGCCTTTCCTTGTGTAAGCGCGCTTTAGAGAGAGTACCACACAATCCCGTCGCTCAACAGTTGACCGTGACCGCTGGCAAATTATTCACTATGGTTCAACTAATTTTCAAACCAAGAAGTCTAGCACTCCTCAGGGAATACCTGCTTTGCGCAGCCGCATTAGAAGTCAGGCAGTTGTCTTATTGCACCCTCGGACCAGCTCTGCGGAACATTAGTGTTGAATATTGATGTCATGCTGTTGATAATGATGATGCTTTGTGCGGACACGCTTTCCTTCGGGAAATACTCTGGTTGGTGCACAGCCGTTTAGTTCATCACTTGTAAGGCATCCCTGTAATTCAGCAACATCACATTGAGGCCGCTGACAGGCTTCCAGAACTCGACGGGTACGATGGTTGTGGTGATGATCTGGCTGACGATCGTAAAAGGGTGAGAGAAGCCATACCCACAGCTTTTGAAACCGTCTGTTGAGGTCGCTGGCGTACCCAGATGAACAATAAACATGTCACGACCAGCAGCGCCGATTGAAGCCAGGGAAATTATATGGGCAGCAAACTACTGTGGCTGCGCGCGCAGATCGCTAAACGCCGAATAATGAGGAGCCTAAGGATTGGCGTAGAGCACTCGTGGATCGCAAAAAACTCAAGGATTGGGGAGGACTTTCGCGACCGACAACAGTTGTACCCTGTTCTATATAGTTCGATCAGCCGTTGTTACTGAAACCGTTCCTAAAAGGAGCTGTGCTTCAATTCTTTTACCGAAAAATATCTTGAATGATAGACTGAGCACTCTAAAAAACAATTTTGCTTGCCCTCATCGATTCAACTTTTTGGGGGATCTCGTCAACCCAAATGGTAATTTTATATCAGCTTACCATCGACAACAGAGGTCTCACATGAGATTTCGTCCCTCTGGGGAGATAAAGCACCTGATTCATATAGTTCAAAATCCTCCAAGAAGGTGGCGAGCCTCCTGCGTCTATCCTAGTTATCTGGAACGGGTACAGAATGGATTGCCTCTCTGGCGAGCCTTTCTAAAAATGATCCAGTGGCATTGAACGAAAACAGTCCAGTGGTCGTAGCTTCCAAGTAGAGTCAGGTTTGCAGAGATCAAGCTGGGTTCCGCCCCGACCGGGGCTGTGTCAATCACATCTTGACCTTGCGACATGTGCTGGAACTGCACCGTGATTCGAACCCAACCTCTACCTCTCGACTTCCCCTGTCTAGGCTTGGGCAACGTGGCAGTATCCCAGCCCTCGTGCTTCCTTTTGGTGGCATGGTAGGTGGTCACCGAACGACTTTATATATCTCCTTCCATGGGCGAGTACCTCTCTAAGGCAAATCATCCCCTGACTTCATTCTTTTTCTTCAACTTCACAGCCGATGTGCTGCTTGAATCTTCTTTACTTGCCTTTAATCGAGGCATCACCGACACACCTACAGTGAGCACTAATTACCCTATTGTAACAGTACTTTTGCTTTTAATCTTAATCTCATCGATCCTTTGTATAAAGTTTTTTCCTACAATCCCACTACCCTACGTTGTCTAGTAATGTAAGCTGGGTTGACCCGAAACTTCGTACACACAGACCCTCCCTATCTCAATTACCTTCTCAGTATTCAAACTAGTATGATTGTGCGGCTCTTCTCTGGTGTTGCCGTCAGTGATGGTTAAATCTTCTAATGGCTTGTTAGCGTTTCTTTCGGTCCTCGTTAGTGGTCCTTTTGAATGTGTTGTTGTGGTTTCTTCAATGTATCCCTCTATTGTGCATGCATGTAGCAAAAAGAATCTAGAACCTATCAAACTCTCACCAAAGCCATCATCTCAGACTATAACTTTTCCTGAACACAATCGGTTTTGTAGCAATGGCACCGACTCGAGAGCTTGTTAAGGTTGTCCCCTTCACACATTCATTTTCCAGGTGGATTCCATTCACAGTTTCCTGTGTGAATGTCACTGAGATCCCGCCATTGATGGGAGTGAAGGAAGATTTACTGACCCAGTTGGGTAGTCCTAAATATGTCCTTGCTCCAATGGTTGACGCAAGTGAACTAGCATGGCGGCTACTTGCCCGTCGGTATGGGACCCAACTCACCTATACGCCGATGATCCACGCGATGATGTTTCTGAAAGACAAGGCGTACAGACAGTCATGTTTGCAGTTCTCCCCTGAAGATCGCCCCTTAATTGTACAGGTGGGTGGCATAAATTGACATGCTCCAAATTTTAGTTCTGTGCCAACTCTCCCGAAACGTTTGTGAAGGCTGCTCACGCGGGTCAGCCATATTGTGNGATGCAGTAGTATCAATTTGGGATGTCCACAGAAAATCGCCAAACATGGGCACTATGGAGCATTTCTACAGGATGAATGGGACCTGATTAGGAGCATTGGTGAGCACCATGTTCTCAGATAATCGCCTAATACCGCTGTTCTTAAAAACTTTCTTACCACACACATACGCGGTTGATAATTCTCCATCCTTAGGCCTTTTCATTATAACTTATATCTCCGTCCGTCCCGCAATACATCTAATTGAGCAGGAGGTTACTGAGTGGTTTTGATGTATAGCCATTCACCGAGAGGCCTGAGGTCCGAACCCGACTCTGGCTTCTAAACTATTCTTATTAAGGTTTGGGCAACGTGGTAAAATCTCAACCCCTATACTCCCTTTGGTGCATCCGTGTACCGGGAAGACGTGACCTTTGTGATATTATTATTATTATTATTATTATTATTATTATTATTATTACATTTAGCCGAGAATTCTGCGAAGGCGGACATCTGGTTGACTCGAAAAAAAAGAAATTAACCACATTCATGCGATACTGAAACGCTCCTCTAGGATATTATATCTAGCGATAGCTCACGGTGCGGAAGGTCTATGGTATGAACACAACCCCGCATCTCGGCTGATCCTGTCTAGCTTTGTGAAACCTGTATAGCATATCCTAGCCTTCATGCTTTTCTCGGGATACACGGTAGCTAGGCGCCGAAGGGGTGTTACAGCTGCATTATTATTAGTATTGGTAGTAATGGTAGTGCCGTCAACAACACCAGATGAGAACACGGTTACTCCACTTCCGCACAACAACGTCAACTTATTTCAATGAAGGCTTGTAATCTAAGGAAGAAAAGGTGTATGAAGGAGACCCAGGGCTAGCCTGTAACAAACATCCGAGGCGCCTACGTCTCCGATACTCAGTCGGACATTCTGGATAGTAACTGAAAGCATGAACGCCACCAACATCAGTTAGGCACCATATCGTTCAATGTTTTCAGTCAAGCGCAAGTAGGATTCATGTGGGTCCCATCCTGGAAGGCTAATAACACCAATATCACTCAGACTTTTTGTGATATCCTTGTGTCAAATTCCGTCCACCTCTGGGCTTAATACACTCAAAATTCGGCCAGGAAAACAGCGCACTTTTCGGCAGGCGGTAAATAGGCACGCATAAGACATGGCCCAGCCAACAAACCTTGCGTTGTTGGTTGCATTATTTGATGGTGGTACCTATGTCTCATCAGAAATTTGCCTCATGATCACCTCATTGCAAATTTGCCCGTTCCAGTCGATTCTAGTTACACCTGTGGAACCATACTGGTCAAAGGCTTCTCAGATCCTCCACCGAAAGCGGCTAAATCTCGTAGCCGCACAACGATGCAGCTCTCACTGTAGTCTGATACACACGTCCTTTGAGACCAGATGATGTGCCTTTCTGACGCCACAGGGGGCGCGATAAATACAACTCGTACCTTCGACATTCGTTCGTTCACTGCATCTGTCGCACTATCGTCGAAGCTTGTGCAACCTCCAAGATACATATAGTGTTCTAGAACCTGTAGTATCAATCTTTAAGTTATCAGATGCAACTGACAAAATTGGCGATTGACAGTGATGCGTTTTGGGGTTGGGTAGTATGTGGTGAACCACAACTTGGAGGACGAAGAATCTGATCGCCGGACTTCATACACAACCTGACGTCAGTGATTCTACGAGTGTCTCGTCTCGAGGTATACGAGCCACAGCCGTTCTATTAAGTCCTACCTTTCCACCTTTTTCTTTATACGATATACGATGTATAGACATCTGATGTTTTCTGCGCCGCTGTAATGGGTAAACTATCCTCTTGGAACTTCCCTGCATAGTTCCTTCGAATGGTATTTTCCCTTCGTTTTCTTATTTTACAGTTAATCGAGCTGTTAATGAGCTGGACATACCAGTCACATGTAAGATACGTATCTTCCCCGATGTGGGACGAACTGTGTCGTACGCTAAGATGCTTGAGGCCGCTGGAGCATCCCTGCTCGTTGTGCATGGTCGGACTAGAGAAATGAAAGGCCAGCTGACCGGACTTGCTGATTGGAATCAAATAAAAAGAGTCAAGTGAGTTTGTTCTGCTTAAAATGTTCCCCACCGAGTGAGGGAATAGATATCGGTTGCATCTCGCATTTTTGGGTCAGCATCGCGTAAAAACCAGGGTTATTCTTTTAAATCTCTCCCTGAAAGATTCAAGACACTGAAAGTAATCGTACTATCCCTATCATGGTATCATGCTTCCTCCATCTGTCCGGATGTAGTTATCCCGGCAAGTTCACTGAGTCAGAATAGTTGCATTGATGTGGGAGGAGGACTGTTCGGGTGAGATTTGTGTTGGTACATTCTCAAAATCTTTATGCACCTGTTCACATGTGAACAGTGTTTCTCATTTATTCTATGCACCGTACCCCAGGCAAATGGCACACGTTCTGTCGCATACGCTTTTGAACGTTGCTGTCGTCCAACTTCTGTGTATGACTTCTATTCCGTCCTCCGGTTGAATATCAGGTGGATTTGTTGCACAAAATGTGTTTATGCATCGGTGGTATCAAAGCCAATAGGTCTTTGTGTAAGGTGTACCTTGTTACTTTCGAATCGTCCCCCAAGTGGTAGCGAGGGCATCTCAATCATATTCGCTATATTTTTAACCTTATAAGCTTTCTCACATCTTTCCTCCAGTTTTCGCACTCGATGTTGATATGTGCGTTTGTCCTGTTGCGAACACCGATGACAGCTGGATCATGCTAGTCAAATGCTTTCTTGTTTCAGGGCGGAGCTCACCATACCTGTGATTTCCAACGGGAACATTCAGTACCCAGATGATATTGCTCGTTGTCTTTCAGTAACTAACGCAGACGCCGTCATGAGTGCAGGTATAGTTGTTGAGTAAAACTAGTCCTGGTACGCCTGTTTTTTTTCGATGCAAAGATTTAGAAAGTTAAAACAAACTGTCTTCCTGAGTTTATTTGGATTCACACAGGCTAAGTGTGCTATTTGGTTTCCGATACGAGAGATAGTTGTATTTGTTTGGCAATGAACCTAGAAATAACTTATAACCCGACCTACCTATATTCCGCCATCCTCGTTAGCACCCAGGCTCTTCATTGTAAAATGAAAATATTACCGCAAAGATTACCGAAATATTCAAAGCACGTGTGCTTCAGCATCTAAATGTGAAGAAATAGTTCACGCGTTTTGTTTCCTGAAGAGGTTCATTGATGTGAGACAGATCTAACGCCGGATGACGCGTTTTCCTCAAAAGATTTATATACAACAACCAAATCACTTCAGCTGCATCGCTACAAGCTTGCAGTTTTTGCGTATCCTGACATCAGTACAACTAACAGTACTTGTGAACCACAATAGGCTGTTTAGATTTTTGCAGCTGCGATAGTATCTCTTTTTATTTTCCCCTGATTCTCTATCCCTTGTTTTTCCTCTAGAAGGTCATCTCCACAATCCAGCCATCTTCGCCGGATTGCAACCTTCCGTGTACAGTATGTGCATGGAATATCTGGACATTGTGAAACAGTATCCAACAACCATGCCGATTGTCCGGGGGCATATATTCAAACTGCTACATCATGCGTGAGTAGTCTTTTAACACGACTCACTTATCTCATACCATGTCTGTCCTCCAGTTGCGGTTCAAGTTGATTGGTGGTGTGAGATGTGTCTGATAGTCTGGAAAAATCCCATGGTCTCATCTGGTTCGGGTACGGGAAAAAGGCAAAATCATCCAAGAATGACTCGGTCTAGCTAGAAATCAACAATCAAAGATCAGTGTTCGTTAACCCTAACAATCCGACTGTCTGTCCACTTTTCTGCTATGTTCATTTTGGAACACAAAACGGAGACCCGTGGATACGTGTGCCAATGGTTTCAGTTATTGTGCCTTGGTTGTCGTTAGTGCATTATCAAGAAAGGACGATCAGTTTTCTAGGTCGAGGTTACAGGTAAATAAAATATTTCAAGGTACCTTATATGTTCAGCTGTAGCACTCTTTCGGTGCCTAACTGCCATGCCACCAGAAAGAAGCGCGAGGGATGGGATACTGCCAGGGTGCCCAAGCCTAGACAGGGGAAGTCGAGAGGCAGAAGTCGGGCTCGAACACGGACCTTCCGGTCAGGAAATCCGCGCTTTAGACACTTGGGCTATCTCGCCCAGTGTACCTAATTAAAACCAAATACATTTATTTTGGTCTGGAGTGGTGTCACATATTTCGAAAGGCATACTTGGCTGCCTTTAGTATTCGTGTTTGGACAAGATTAGTAGTTCTACATGTCCTGGGCCAAATGACTACTTTGTCCGCCTGTTTGTGATGCGCTGCAAGTAACAGGAATTCATAGTGGGCGTACGATGTAAAGTTCACTTTTCACTTATCATAAGGCGAAGTAGTGAAGACTTGGTTATTGTGACTGATCTCACACAAGTACGGCACAGTCCCTTACAATGGTAGATTTCGGGGCAGCATTATCTGAAATTATCATGTCTTCGACTTTACCATCGAAGTGAAAAGTGTACCTCATACTGTGCCTAGCGACCAAGATGGAAGGTGACAATTTGTACCGCCGTGGTTTTGCGAACTGCACATATCCGGAATCGGACACCCCGAGCTTGTGCACTTATTCCTAGATCATACGTTGCTACCAATGGTAACCACAGACTCACAGCTGGTGTTACCTACCACCTGTTTTCTTAGAAAACAGTCCAGTTATCTGACCAGTGGTGGGGTTAGCTGCCATCTTCGAATGTCAGCGAACTGATCTTCCTCTGAGACTCGTTATGCCCAGTCATATGTGGAGTGGAGTTGGTTCACTGAAGTACCGGAAACACTGCCAGCAAATCTAACTGCGTTACATGTTATCGAATCGGAATTTCTGGATGGCGATTTAAGTCAGCCAAAGAAAAAGTGATAAATTCCACGCAGAACTAAGTGTTATTCTGCATCCTCTGACTTAAACTGAGTGTTACTACTATTGCCATGACTATTCTTACCGTCATCTGGTCTTGTTGGATCTTTACAGGTTGGTCGTACATCCACACTTTCGCCAGACCGTCGGATGTGCCCAGAATTTGGAGGAAATGCTGAGCATTGTCCAAGAAATGAGAGACGTTTGTTCGGTGAGTCAGTCATTTCATTAGCGTGACTACTAATCATGTCCTTCTTACTAGCTAATTAGTAGAATTGTATTGTTCTATCTCCATAGGACTACAGTACGAGCTGTTTTGTTATGGGTGTGAGAATCAGGCTGTTCTAGTAGCGGAACTGAGACATCTTCAGGTCTTCGACAACCACTGTCTCAAACCCATAGCCCATGTGGGTTTTAGTCGGTGAATCCGTAACAAGACAATCAGAAAACGAGTTTCCGGTCGCGAAACGGGGACTTCCACCGAATATTGGATCCAGTAACAGAAACTACGCTGATTAGGCCATGTATTGCGTATGTCGAACCATCTTTTGGCGAAGGGAGTGCTGTTTTCCGTGTCCATTTCAGAGTGGCGAATGCAGAGAGGTGGCCAACTCTCAACCCGGTAAATGGGTATGGAAAGTCTGGGTGCTGCAGGTGCGACTCGCCTTTCAGGATGGGGACGAAAGTATGCAACAGCGTCGTTCACACCCCGTGTTTTCACTTCTTCCTCTTCAGGGTCCTCATTGTCATGCTTGGTATCTTCCCTGATGTAGGTAACCGGGTTATTCAAGACGTTGTCTTGCATAAATGCACCCACAGAATGTTCAACAACCCAGCATAGATGTTCCCTAACTTAATATCACAGGATCAAGTTCGTCCTCATAACTTTCCGCAAAAAGTTTCCCTTAGCACACGGAGTCTTTGAAAGCTAGGCTAACGTGTTGTTTTATCCACATATTTACATCAGACCTGGCCACGGTTGTGCTGCTACCTGCGGTCCGCAAAGGACTTGGGAATCTCGAGAGCTGAAGTTGTTTCTGCGCTGAAGTCTCACCCGAAAATGTTTGTTTTCCAGTTTAACTGTGATTTTCATCGGTCCCTTTTTAATTGGTGGCCCTTCTGCTACGAGCCCCAATGAACCACCGAAGGAAGGGTTCACGGTCGGAGCAGTTTCACTGCCTGCTGAGCCTCCGATTCCTAGTACATTTTGTTTTACTCCTTCCAGTTGGTTTCAATCAGCATCCGTGTTTTGGTGGTATCACACGATTTAAGACTTAACAAGTCTTCTGGAAATCCATAACGAATCGCCTCTACTTTCTGTTCTAGCGCTTTACATTGAGTCAGACATAAACTAAAGCCCTCTTCGGGTTACCCTGACAAAAATAATCACCGCCGCCAGGTAGCAAACAATCGCACGACCAGTCGGTGAGCGGCCTTCATTCGCATCACTCTCATGTGAACACTCCCAACCTAATCTTAACAGTCTCAGACCTATTACAGGTGAGAACACTCGACAGACGAGTATAAGGTAATGAACAATGGTCAACATAAGTTTGCCTTTTGCGCAGATTTTCGTGGTAATTTGGTTTGTGTGACCCCGTTGTTTTACATCTTTTCCTCACACGAGGCTTTCTAATTTATTATAGGCCTGCGAATCGAATGCCGAACAAATATCCCTACACCCTCACTGGATCTGTCAGCCATATGAACGACCTAAGTTGGCAACAGGGAAAGAAGTTCCGAACTCCCCTATTAACACCGCTGCAGCAAGCGCCGATGCAAGCCAACCATCTTACAGACATATTCTTCAGGAAGAGAGACGCATCCGACGGGAAACGAAGAGAGAAGCAAAATCACTGAAGCGAGCATTGTCCGAAAAGGCCAGTTTGCTTTGCAAACAGTGCCGGATTAATCGTAGTGTAAGTTCTTGTGGACTGTGAATCCCACTGTGTTTTTCCGTTGTCAAACGCGAATTTCTACTTATCAGTTAGGATTTGGGATCGTGGTTGCTACTGCGCTAGACCTGGATCTGTTCGACCACCAAGTGTGACGGAATCGCTACCAAGCTAGAGCTGGATTATATTTTCCGCGTTAATTTGACTGCCACTGGTTCTTTTGTATAAGGGAAATCTTATTGGAAGTCGAAGTGAACTACGTTCTCTACTTAGCGACCATCCCTGTGGCAACTTACCCTGCAGTATGACTGTATGGATATCGCATTAGGAGACCTTCCTCCATAATACAATGAATTCTCTATTACAATTGAACTTGTCCGAAGTTTACGAAGTCGTTTGAGTACCGCAAATGATTACAACTATACCAGACAAGTATGCGTGCCAGTAGGTGTCGAAAAGAGCATTGCAACATGACACTCGTCCGTTCCTCTCTCAATATGGCATTACTGATCATTCTTTACTACATCCGGGAAAGATAAATTGACACTTAGACAGATGCGAAACCTTGTCTGCTTGACTTTTAATCCCGTCATAGCTATCGAACCGCCATGATCGGTGGAGGTAGGCTTTCCCTTAAGGAATCTTTACCGTATATGTCTCCGGTAACAATTCGCCCGGGGAAGGTGCACTTTTAAAGGAGGTATGGAACATTCAAGAAACTTATGCGCTTATCCCACCTGCAAAGTTAGTGAGGACTTCAGAATCCCATATCTCAACTCCACAGTACAATTAGAAGGGACATGGTGCCCGAACTTGCGCCTGGAAGGTGAGGTGGCTCCTACTATGAGTAGTTCGAACGACATCACACAATGAATGAATCGAGGTCTGTTTGACATTACAGTGAATGGCCAGCAAAATTCACTATTAATGTCGGTTCATCAGTTGTGGACACCACAGAAGGATTCGCATGCACACAAAGCAGAGTGGACATGTGCGGTGTAGCCAAATGTATGTAAGTGTTCAGGCGGTTTTACGACTTTTCGTCAATCAGTGTGGATACAAGAGCTATACTTTCGAATGACGATGTTTCCTCTGACCGTTTCACAGTTTGGCTTAGCGCAAAATTGACCAAAATCGCAGTAATGTAACCCTTCGTAGATTGTGACTGCTGGTCGCACTGTTTTAAAATTCTTTACCACGATAACCGTAAACTTGAACACAATTAGTGTGCTGCAGATTCTACACGTAGAAAACAAATCTCATGTCGGTTTTGTTTGCGTTACGATTGTACTCATTTAACCTGTGGGTTGGCCCAATCACTTTGCAGTATCCCGACTGGTTGATCAGGCTGTTGTTTTGTGTTCTTCTGTAGATTCTTCGTTTAGTGCACAACGCATTCGTCGTATGCCGCATCGTGAGTGACGTTGATCAACACCGAGTGCTCGGTCTCTTACTGTTTCGTGTATGGCTACTGGTTCCTATCTCCTAATTATCTTGATTTTCTAAAGGCGATCTTCCACGAGATTTCGCTTTCGTTTTAAACTACGTGACCAGTAATACTCCTGATAAAATTTCAGGAACACTGCAACTATTCTAAGGCATCATCTAGCAGCGCTAACTAACAGAGGAGACTGCATCAACAGACCATTGACTACCATCAGTTGAGACTTCAGCATCTGTCGTAAACCACGTTTAAGGGCGCTATCCTCTGATTGGTTACTTTTTTGAGTGCGGAAAAGGAACTTGGAGATCGCATCAACTTAGTAAAATGCAGTGGTATGAGTTTCTAACATGGTCTCGCTGTTCACTACACGTGTCGTGTGGAGGTGGTTTAGGCGCGAACCCACTGAACGGAATGTATGTGGTTCGAATCCAGTCTTGGTATCTTGACCGCTTCCGTCAAGACTTGGGTGACATGGCGGTATCTCAGCCCTCGTGCTTCTTTCGAGTGGAATGGAACCGAAAGTGTGTTACAGCTGAATGCCTACCCTGTGGAACTGGCTCAGGCCGTGACGGTGTCTATGATACATGCTAATGTAAGGCTATATCAAAAGCGAAACAAAAACCAAACGGCTAGTAGTAGTGTCTGCATTATGTACTTATCAGTTTCACATGCAAGTCTGGCTGCACTTAGATTGAAAACAGGCTTTCATGGCTTCGTTTCGAACACCGCATTTTCTGTTCTAAGGGTCAACAATGTCCGAGTTCTGCATGTAGAACATGTTGCTGGTCACTGGATCCGGACAGGTCCAATGGATGCAAAGGTAAACCAGTTTTTTTCATTTCATGCTTTCTTTCCAGTTCACCAGCACCCGAAGAAAAAGAGGACATGATGATGCTCTTCGATTTTGTATTTTATACTGTTGTATTACACTCAGTATTTTTCTTCAGCCTCTTCACCGTCTTCATCTTGATAGTGGGGATGCGGGAGGGTTCATCGTTCCACGCCCTACAAACAATGTCTGCATGGTAGTTAGAACTCACAATAGATGTTCCACGTTCGCCTTGGATGTCAGATCAGGGACTTCTAACCCACAAGCGGAGTATTCCTCATTCTGTTGTTGTAAATAAGCGCTACGCATATCACTCTTCACCGAACTGTGCTCAGTAACAGTAACTGTCCTCTGCAGGTATCTGTAGAAAGAATATCGGCGCTGCTGAACAGTTAGCATATGGCTTACCTCTCTATCAGTGATGCTTGTTCTTCGTGCGTCAGATGTGTTCGTCCTTCGGGGAAATTGTCTCGAAACCACTGAAGTTTGCTTTCTGTGCTACGTCAGAAAAGAAGTGAGAATTTCCGCCTACCGAGTAGTTTATTCTTTCGTACTTGTTGTTTCTGCCGCCTTAACATTTTCGAGGATTATCAAAATAGGACTTACTTCGCTACGCGAAGTTCATGATGCAGGTGTCTCCGTGCGTAACCAGCTTTACGACTCTGTGGATGTAGGACCTTCATCACCTATGTTTTAAATAGACACGTGCTGAAATGCGAAAACGATTGGACTATGGAATATTTTAGTGCGCCATACCATCGCATGTAGCGACAGCGGAATGTAAACAATGCTTATTACACAAGAGGCAATCAGGAGTTCAGCACAGGGAATTCTATACGGGGCGATTTGGCCTTCATCGCCATAGGTAAAGGCAACTCCCTACCAATACAGTGTTCTTTGCCTAAAGTGACCAACTGTAAAGAACGAAGCCGCTTCAAGGGAAGGGCGATAATTTTACTCGTTTCGGTTGTTCACGGGTATTCCCATTTTCCCTGGGGATTGTATGATTATGAGTAGCCTTGAATCATTCGCCAGAAAACGCCCATAAGAGCACCAGCAAATCGTACCGAATTTCCTAGCCTTTCACACCAACCTGTCCAAAACAGACCACTGCTTAGGAGAATCCACTCCAAGCAACACTCGCCAGATTTCTATAAGATTCCGTCCGGTACGACCAATTATAAGCAATGGTGATCATCAAGGTCGTCCTGTCCTTTGGCGTGCGTTTTGCGCCCACAAAGTATAAGTTCATGCCTCTGGACCTGAAGTCAGTGAACACGGTACTCACAATCCAAAAAGAGAATCGAAGTTAAGGAGCATTTTAGTTATCTCGGATGTCGTATTCGTTCCGACTGCAGTGTGACAGACGACAACAGGGAGAAGCCCGCGTGAACCCACTGTGGATATTCGAAGACCCTGCAAGCTATGGCCGCTGAGCTACTTCAATGGCGTTCTTGGTGCCACTTTCTATCCAGATTGCTTGAATGAGTCTAGAGGTGTGGGCACCTCTTTTTCATCCAGTTCCCAGTACGGCTTTCAAATAAATTGTTTGTACGGAAGCGAAGTAGCAGTGCTAAACACTGACCTTATGCTGCCTGTTTCAAATAACTTTGGATGTGACATTAATAGGCGACTTCTTTGCCTTTTAGTATTCACCAGTTCGCTGTACTTTGCTATTTACGCAACTCATGAGTGTATTCGTCGCAATGCTACAGAGCGCGACACCGCATGGTTTCTGTCTGTTCAGGTTGAGTGTCAGGCAGTATAACTAAGTCAAACAGTGTCCACTGGTTAGTGAGTTCCATGACCTTAGAGGATACTACTGGAACCAGGGAATACTTACTACTAGGAACACCCGGATGGTTTGGAGCACGTGAATTCACTTCAATGATGAGATTGTTGTGCTCTGGGCCGAAAAAGTTCGTTACGGGTGATTCGGCCATAAAAACCCAGATACCGTTATTCTGGTGAATGGCTGCTTTATTTGGACGACATTCCCAAGGCGTCGCGTTTGCACCGGTTTTTCCCGCACGCCTTTGGACAACTTGTCCAATTGTCTTTTTCACTGGCTGTCTCTAGTCAGCACGGATTTTTAACGTAAGTGTTCACTTTGAAGGCCACCATCTGTAAATCGCCCATGGGCCTATTGGACAACCTGGCAATAAGCTGCGGTTGCCTTAATTAAAGATTATCTCTCCTTCTGGAGCACACCTCTTGGTCCTTGCCACTCCGTCGAGTTCAGTTTATCAGCTCACGAACCCCACATCGAAATGATATGATTCCAGCTGATACGGCTTTGTTCACGGACGATAAGAAGAATAAGGGAATGAGAGCCACACAGTGGCAGTGGCACAATCAGTTCACTGGTATCAAATGTTTCTCTTTGTTCAGTGTGACAGGCTGAAGGCTACACAGTTAAGGCGAACTGACAGCCCCTAGGTCGTTTCCATCCGAAACAAGACTGGGTGAACGGGGTTCTACGAAGCATGCGAAGTCTAACCAGCGTAACCTGTAGAGTGCGGCCAGTAGATCTACTGACAGAGGATGAACTTTCTCAAAAACCTGACAGACTTCAGTATTACTGGTTTCGTGTTCCCGCCAGGATCGCGCGATGCTTCGGTAGCACCGATGACCAGACATAGAAGTCGTTCGAGTGCAGGTCCCTCAAGCACTGCATGATCAAGAGCCTAGAGAACGATAAAGATGGAGACGGTTTTCGCGAGTTCAATAGTCACATCCTGTTTCAGTCGACTCGATCAGCCAGCATAGAGAAGAAAGCGCCAACGAAATAATATCGGAAGAATTACGGAACGGCAATTACTCGGAAAATCGTCCCCTCGAACAAAGGGCTAAGCACTTTGTACAACGGTTCAGCTGGACTCCTTCAACACAACCTCTGGAAGAATACATGCTTGAATGTTACATAGACATTAGCGTGTCGTCAGCAACAGAAATCCAGCGTGAAATATCACTACTCTAACGCGCCAAGTCAGCCAGGCCGCATGGTCTGCACCATGCATTTCTCAAAGGAGTGAAGCTCTAGTGATCAACAGAAGATTTAGAAAGGAAACAAAATACCACCCGATCGTCTTTGAAACGTGCCCAAGAATGTCATGCAAAAACAACAGTGGAATCAGCCTGATATCCGTCGCCTTCAAGGTGCATCCCGGCATTATTTTTCGCACGCTGATATATTATCCGAAGAGGCAGACACGTGAGGATTAAGATGGCTTCCGTCCTGACCGCAGATGCATAGACCATATCTTTACCTTGAAACAAATTCTTGAACAGCAACACTCTCAAACGTCCCACATTGATAGTTTTTCTTGGTCTGAAAGCTGTTTTTGACTCCGTCGACCCTAGGAAACTTTGGCGGTATTTGATGATGAGAAAGGTCCCTTGTGAATTAACATCCCTTGTTGGGGTATTGCGTGCGAAGCCCTGTAGGCCTCCGCCTGAGTTTAGCACGTCCAGCGATGTAAGACAAGGTTGATCCCTTCTATAATTCCTCTTTATATTTTTTGTCGACGTGGTACTTAAGGCTTCTCTGTCTGTCTCTGGGACCTCGGGGATTGAAATACTTCCGGGGCATTTGCTCATGGATATGCGGACGATGCCGTCCGTTTTGCTTCAAACCACTCAAAGAAGAAAACCATTTCAAATGACCTAAATAATTCTGCCGCACGAATTAGTATGAGCTTCACACCTGCAAAGTGTAACACTTCTACAAGACTGGATGGTTGCAGAAGGGAAAATCGATGGATGATGGGCAAATTTGTTTAACTGGGCAGCTGTAGACTGGCTGGAGGTGAAATTACTCCTGGAATCGGAAAAGCCAGGGCAGTTTTTCCAACCCCCGAAACCTATGGCGCCGGTCTGATGTCAGTTTGCCTGTCAAGGACAAACTTCAGACGGCGGCAATCCGATCCATACTGCTGTATGCATTGGAAACGTGGCCGCTAAGAGCAGAGCACGTTCGAAACCTGCCAGTGCTTGGTCTGGTGGGAACACCGGACTAGTAATGCCGAGATGCTCATACAAAAGACAAATTACTCACGGTTCACAGGTTACGCTGGTTAGGACAAGTGTTTCGTACATTAAAGAGAGACTTACCAATGGTTAATGACGCTGACAGACACGGCTCGATCAAGCATTCAGTGGCGCTCACGAGTCAGAGCTATTGCTTTCAATACGTGGCTAACCAGTTCCCGAACTGAAAAAAGTCATCGCCTCCAATACTCACCACATTTTCCGGCGACCGCAGCTGTAGCAGCAGAAACCAACGTCCTCTCCGTACATGGTTTTCAGCTGAGAAACTGAACTGGACCGCTGGTGAGTTATTTAGTACGATGGAAGCACAGAGCTTACGAAGAGCACGACGCTGCTCCGAACACATCTGGTGTGCACATCACCATGAGTAATGAGACATCAAAATTTACTTCCTGGGTTCTAGACTTCCCTGAAGCAAGGCGGTGACGGCTGCGGGCGAATGACAGCGAGTCAACTCTACTACCCATTGCTTTATGGGTTATATTTTCAAGTCAAACGTCGAAGGTTGGTTACCTTGAAAAAAACCTTCCTCGGCGTTGGAACCACAAAATATCACTTGCCCTAGCATCAGTTCGATCAGCTTTCACTTTCCAACTTACATTTATCCACCGTTTCAGGTCATCTACTTCGCAGCAAAATAAAACAGCCCTTTGCTTAATTGAAAACGTCTCATCCGTGTTTCAGCTTCAATATCCAGACTCTGTTATGTTGTTTGTTCTCCATTCATGCGGCCGTGCTCCGAGACGCGCATACAGGACTCTACTCTGGCTATACACCTCAAACTGCTTAGGACGACCTTGGATATTCCACAACTTATGATTCGGATATCTGGAAATCCTGATGCAACGACTCGTGGTGTGTGACATGGGAATCGAACTCAACCCCTGAGCTAAAAATGCTTTTTATTAGACTGGATTTCAACAAGGTTGTTGTCGTCCTATATACTTATTACCGATTCGCCTATCTATACGGCTCTTTCGAGCACGAGGTAGCTCGGTGGCTAAGTTTCCGTACTACTGGTTGGAAGGTCCGTGGTTCGAACTCAACAACGGCATCTAGACTGTTCCTGTCTTCGCCCCTGGACAACATGCCAGTATCCTAATCCTTGTGCTTTCCCTGGAGGGCATGGCACTGGTGCTGAACGATTAGCACCCGTTTGTCTGGTCCAGTGAAGATATGAAGTGCGTATGTTTGTTGCGTCAGCATATACGCCGACAAACTGTGACCCGAAATCTGAGAAAAAACGGTTCTGTTAAGATAGTCACGACTGCGACAAACGGGACCCAAAACCGAAAAAAAACGGTTCTGTTAAGATAGTCACGACTGCTTTAATCAGCAAAGGCGGACATATTCACGCTGTCGGCCGGTAGGAACGCAAAAATTAAACTAATAGGCCCAGAAGTGAAGCTGGACCACAGATTCGGGGTCAGTTCCCACCGTACAGTAAGAATTCTTTTGTTGTGTGCTAATCGTCCATTCCCAGCCCATACGAACTTTCAGCATAAGCATCCTCAACGAGTCATTCGGAGGCAATCAACCGCATGCCAGTCATGGACTCAGTTGAATTATGTGGCCGTCAATCACAGACAAAGTGCCTCAAAAAGACTACCGTTACTTCCACAGTACGTAACCCGAT